TTGCTTTTGCTATTGTGGAAGAGGAAAATACTTCTAGTTGGTCGTGGTTTTTGTGTGCCTTGCGAAATTTGGTTACCGATCGAGATGGAATTTGTTTAATTTCTGATCGTCATAGAGGTATTTTGGCGGTTGTGAAAAATAAGGAAAATGGCTAGAGTGAACCAAGAGCACATCATCGATTTTGTCTCCGTCATATGGCTAGCAATTTCAACAAAAAATATAATTCGAAGCCCTTAAAAGAGTTGGTGTATCGTGCTGGGTGTCAACACCAAAAGCGTAAATTTGAAAGATATATGAGGGAGTTACAACAATTGAATCCAGATTGTATTGATTTTTTCACTCATATAAATATTAAAAAATTGACACAAGCACACGATCAAGGGTTTCGATATGGATAGATGACAACAAATCTAGCAGAGTGTATTAATGGTGTTTTCAAATGAGTTAGAATGTTGTCAATTACTGCATTGGTGAAGTTTACGTTTTTTAAGACTATTACTTATTTCCAGAAACGTAGAGATGATATCAGTGAAGCAGTGGATCGGGGTGAAAAGTATACAAAATATGCTTTAAATAAATTGAGGAGGTGGGAGAAAAGAGCGACAGCACATTTAGTGACTTCTATTGATCGAGAGACACAAACTTTTCAAATCGAAACAGGAATAGATATGTTATCTTCTTACAAAGGCCAACATACTCAAGTAGTTTGCTTGAAGAACAATACATGTACTTGTAACAAGTGACAATCTTTCAAGATACGGTGTTCTCATGTAATTGCAGTCTGCAATCATGTTCACTTGCCATATTTGCCTTATGTCGAGAAGTATTACGAATTGTCACGGTACCAACTTTGTTATGCATCTCGATTCTACCCTATACAACATAGAAACTATTGGCCAGAAGTGAAGTTTGATGGTATTCATCCGAACTCAAATTTGCTGAGGGAACATGGATGCCCAAAAACTTCTCGCATTCACAATGAGATAGATTGACGAGAGACGGGTACGAAAGTTCATTGTGGAATATGCAAAAAAGAAGGACATAACAAACGTACATGTCCAACTCGCAACTCTGGCGTTTCATCTTCGAGACAAATGGGTGATTAAGATGGATTTCTTTAATTATTTTTTTAACATACTGTTACAAATCTATTAATATTGAAATAAATTCTATATTTTCTATGTACAGGTTGAAGCATATGTGGTGATATCGTTCTCAATTAGTGTGGGATTGTTGTTTTGTAATACCTTATATTTTATCACTTACCCGGATTCGTGCTTTGTAATACACTATGCTTTATTGAATCATTTTTTGCTTTGTAATAGTTATATATTTGGAATTTTAATGTACTATACTTTTGTTGGGTGTGTTGCCCTAAACTCGTAGTTTGTATTTTGTAAAAACAAATGTCTATTTAATAAAGTTTTATTCAATAAATTTGTTGTTGAATCATAGCTTTGCATTGTCCAAAATCCAATAAACAAAACATCCAAGGTTATTTTTTATGTAATCGGGACAGTATATATACTGGGTATATAGTTGATATACAAGGTATATATTTGATATACCCCTGATATATGAATGGATAATGTCCCGTGAATAACCTAAAGGGTCTATAGTATATGGATAAGGCTGGGTACCTTATCCTGGCAATACTATGGATACGGCCTGCTCTGTAAAGGTTACAGACGACTCGATCCAGGTCGTTCGTGTGGAGACATGCGAGTRGGGGTATCCTATACAATGAGTTTGTATAAGACCGGACTGCGAAATAGGCAATCTTTAGATGTAACACCGTTAACTAATAGATTGACATTTCTTAGGATGACCAGGCAACTCATTCTCAATCCTGAGTGAGTTATGGACTCCTGCCCGTGAGGGCTCGTTCTTTGATCTGTATAGGTGAGAGTGGCCCGAGTCGCCGATTCAACATTCCTACCATTTTGGGGACGAGACCGAGTGGAGAGCTGGGAACCTAACTTCACAAGATGGAATTCACTCCTCCCCGACTTTAGGGGAGTAGATGAGTGTTCCCTTAAATGCTGACTCCGRGACTTGAAYAAGGGGCCCCACCCTCTCATTGGCCGAGAGGGACTTCCGGTTATTGGTTGRACCATAACCGGGTTGTTCATTAGAGGAGCAGTGGTGTTTAAGGAGTAAGATGTAACTCAGGGGTAAAACGGTAATTTGACCCAACTTGAGTTACGAACACTCGTGAAGGATTGACTCGTCATTAATAGTCGTATATCCATGGACACGAAAACATTCTGCAGTGAGAA